GGGGGGGGGGGGGGGCAGGCAGCTGGCCCAGAAATAAGTGGGCAGGCTGAGATCTAACCAGCACTGGGAAGGTCCCCTGTTACAGGCTACCATCCTTGCTGTTTTCATCCTGCTCTACACACAACAAGAGAGTTTTGCTTTCAACAGTTTGAGGTGCAGTTTCACAGAAAGCCCTGCATTTATCTCCTTGAAACCTAGTAAGCTTCATGCCCTCAGAAGGAAGGGACTGCCATCCCTGCTGTTTTTTGTTTTTTTTTTCATTCAATTCTGAAAAAGGACAAAAAAGGTGTAGGTATTTTAGTGATTCCCCATTACACTCTATGGCCAAATCCCTGAATCAGTGCTGCATCTTTTGAATCAGGTTTAGCCAAATCAGTTTGGATCACTGTCCCAAATCAAATCACTGTTCCCTGAACTGGCCGAACCCAAATCAAGTACTGGCTGCTTTGCACGGGCCTACATTCCTGCCTTTGGCAACTAATGCAAATTTCTGAAGAGAAAGATAAATTCCACCCAAGGAGCTTACCCACCAATTGTTCTAATGAGAAAAGAGGAAGTTTTGTTTGTACATACAATGGACATCTTGGATCACTGCTCCCGTTAGTGTAATGACATTTTTTAAAAAGTTTGCGCTGCAAGACATTTAGTGAGAACTCCACTGTATACCTTACTTTGGCAGGCAGTTGGCATTCTTGGGCTACACTTTAAAAATAGCAACCATTTAAAATTCCATCCCAGAATGTTGTGTGGGTGTGCCAGAGTCCAAGATTGTGTATTTGGAACAAGAGGCTAAAGAAAAAAAAAAAGGGAGTCATCTGGAAGGAATAAGCTGCAAGAAGGAATTTGGGAGAAGATCCTATACTTAGAACATATGTAGTCTTGGATTTGTTTGACAGCCCCCTGCCCCAGTAATTTGTTTTTATATATAGAATCTATTATACACTTATTCATTCCCTCCCCCCCCCCAAATGTATAGCCCAATTAATGCAAAGGTAGTCTTAAAAAAAAAAAAGTTTGCTTCCTCCCCCACCCCCAGACCACAATTGGGAGAGCAACAGCACTGGACAAAACATGGAAAACAGTAACAGGGGTGAGCAGCCTGCCTCTCCCCCCTGCAGCCTGGCCCCCAGCCACTATCTTCCCCCCTACAGCAACTCTGGCTCCAGCCCAGAACACAGGGTATCCAGAAGCTCTGGCTCCAAGCCAGGGATGGTTCCACAGCACCTAGTCTCCCCCAGGCGAGGGCCAGACAGTCTGAGCTGCAGCAGCTACCTTCCCCAAATTGTACTTGAATCCAAGATGAAGTTTCTCCCTTCCACCTCATGTGGCTTCAGGGGAGAAGGGGTGTAGGGGGAAGCAGCTTGTATGCAAGTAAATATAGTAGTTTCTCACAAAGCTCATCCAGGTACAAGAGAATCAGAACAGAGAGTCAGCACAACACCAAAAAAAAATGAGCGACAGGTGATGGCAGTAATACAGATGCATTTTTCTTATTGTTAGGAGAGAAGCAAGTTGAACTACAAGTTTTTAAAGTGTTTTCATACACATTTCAGGTCACACTATATATTGGAGATGACATTCTTTTAAATAAGAAAAGAAATTAGACAAATTAATGTAAAATCCAGGGAGAGTATACCAATGAGTTTAAGAAAGCCAGAGATAGAAGTATTTAAGCCAAAACATCAGTAAGCTTTCCATAATTTTTAATATTCAAAGTGATCTGTTCACCTCTACAGAATCATTTAAAAATACCTCCTCAACATAACAGGTTAAAAAAGAACATTAAGCTGTCACTACTGAACTAGAAGTTGAGAGAATCCTAGGAGGCATAAAAATAAAAAGGTCAGGAAACAGCCTGAAAAGTTTCTTGCCAAAACATTTAAATAGCACTGGGAGAAGAAAAGGAGGTACCTTTGTAGTAACCCTGTATGTGATGTAGGTCTCCATCGTGCAGACATGTTTTTTAGGATCATCAACTGTGACGAAAAGGTCTCTAGTTTCCCCATCTAGGTCATCATCCAACTGCAATCTGTTGAGAAGTGAGGATGAGGAGGCTGGGCTAGAAGTGTCTACAGGTGTGCCATTGGGCAGACTGAGATCCTGGAAGGCAAAAAAGCAAGACCCCAATGAGTATGAAAATCTCCCAATACAAAAAAAGGTTAAGAATTAAATGTGTTTGTACCTGCCTTCGCAGAAATCCCCTACCTAAACTGGTTTCCCCGTCACTGGCAGTTTCTTCAACAAGTCTCTCCAAAAGACCTATGAAAATGCCCTGAACAGATTTGAGAGCCTCACTCCCCTCTGCAGTCAGGAGTTTACATGCTACTACCCCACAGTCTCTTATACTTGAAGAAGAATTATTTGAAGGAAGCACATGTCCTGTTGTTTCTCAGAGCAAAAGCAGTTGGCCTCAGAAAACAGTTGCCTATATAGAACATTATGACTATGGCAAGTCTACAAAAAGGTATCAGTCAATAACCAACAATACTTACAGGTTAGTCCCCTTTTAAGTACCACCATTAGTCTTTCCATTTTTGATGAACACCAAGAGGATTTGGGCACCATCTATAAGAATCTACTTCACTACATTAGGATCATAGGAAAGTAGGATTGGGAGGGACCTCATGAGGTCATCCAGGCTACCTTCCTGCAGGACTGTCCCCGACTAAACCATCCCAGCCTAGTGCTTATAACCTGTTCTTGAAAGTTTCCAAGAGATGGAGAGTTAGTTGCTCTAGGTAGCCTGTTCCAATCGTTTAAGTAGCCTTGGCCACCCTTAGGTCAGAAGTTCTGCCTCATGCTGCAGTAGGGGAAATTTTAGGTGGGAGATTAGGTAGGTGTTCCTAGTCCTATCTCCTACAGGGACAGAAGGAAAGCCCATCCATCACCTTTGGGTCTCTGAAAAGCTATTAAGTGGCCCCTACCCTTTCACTCCTCCAGACTAACCCCTAATTTTTCCAACTTTTCTTTGCAAGTTGGATCTCCCAGGGCCCTAGTCATTTTTGTTGCTCTGCATTAGACTTCCCAAAAAAACTGTCCACATCCCTCTTGAAGTGTGGGGCCCAAAACTTGACACAGTACTCCAAGTAAGGCCTTGCTAGTGCCGAGCAGAGCAAGAGAAATGCTTCCCTTGATTTGCAAGTGACACTTCTGAACAATACAACCCGTGGTACTGTGGGGTTTGGTTTTTTTTTGGCAACAGAGCATGCTGCTGGCTCCTTCAGTTTGAGTTACTGTAACCCCCAAATCCTTCTCTGCAGTGCCGCAGCCTAACCAGGTATTCCCCAGCCTGTATTTAAAGTATGCAATTATTTGGTCCCAGGTGCAGGAGTTTGCATCTGTGTTTGGAGAAATCTGCAATCAAATGTAATTCAATCTAATCAGGAGATTTTGCATCCTAGCCTGACTCTCCATAGCATCTGCAGTGACACCCAAGTTGGGTGTCATCTGAAAATTGGGATTGAGTCCATGTTCCACAATCGTTCAACATCACCAATCTGGACAGTACCAAACTCAGAACAGACCCCTGTGGAACACTATTTGAAGACTGCAGCTGGACCCATGTCTTGGTGAGTAAAGAGCGGAAGGGGAAGCTTCAAAATTTTCCATAAAAAAAGCTGACATACAAGTTGATATTTAAAAATTTAGTATAAAGGTTGAGGCACTAGTAGGATTGTAAATATTGTATAGCAATAAAGACATTTTATAAAAAAAAAAAAATGTCATAAGAAAAAAAAAAACACAAAAAACTATAGAGAGTTTGAACACAAAACAAACAACAAAACCCCCAAATCATGTTAAGACAGAGAATTCGGGATTTTTAAAATGAAGAAAGCCAGGAACCCTGGTCACCAGCAGCCATTGCTTCTATAGTAAACTGACCCAAGATCTGGAGTTCTTGGGGGGCAGTGAAAGACCATTTTCCTTATTTAGG